CCCCCCCCCCCCGGGCAAGAAAATCGAGGGGGTACCCAAAGTGGGGATGGTATGTGTGTCTGTGCGCGCGCGCACGTGTGTCGGGAGGACAATGTCCTGGATTCCCCGCAGCCCGCCGGGCAGGCCCATCGTCCCGGCTCCGTCTCCGCATCCTTCTCCGCTTACCTGGCTCTGGCAGAAGCCGCGGCGGCGAGGCCTGGGTGGAAGGCGACGGCGACTCCGGAGAGGACGCGACCAGAGTGCAGCAGGGCCATGGTGGGCGGCAGGAGGGCAGTGGCTCGCGGCTGGCGGCAGGGCAGACCCGAGGACAAGTGGGCGCAGACTCCGCGGCGCGCGCTCCTGCAGAAGGTAAAGACAGCGACTTCCCTGGACGGGGCTAGAGCGGCCGCTCGCCGGGCTGGAGCTGCGTTACAGCGGCCCCTGGCGGCTTGGGGGCGGCGAGCAAGGCCTCCGCGAAGCCGCCGCCTGCCCTCGTCCGGGATTGGTGGCCCAGGGAAAAGGGAAATGACTGGGCTGCTTATCGCTGCTCACAGTGCCCGGGTCCTGCAATGCCTACTCCTTTACTTATTTCATTCACTAAATCACGGCTGGTCCAAGAGATAGCTGATATCATGCTAGCGTAAAAGACGAGAAAATGTAGGACGAATACAAACCAACCAATCCCAGATCCACTGCCCTGCCATCAGTTGATTGCGAATTCAGAGCAGCCCACTGTAGGGTTCTGTAGACTAAATCCTTGTGGGAATAGACAGTCTAATCTCCTGCGGTGCAGCTGCTGGGTTTGAACCACTGACATTGCAGTTAGCAGCGCAAAGCTTACCCAACAGCACCGGGCTCCTGGTTGGGCTGACATACAGAAGTAATTTGCTCAAGCTCTTACAGCCATTGAGGCCGGCCCTGGGGTGACCCATTCTAAACCTTCCTCTGTACGATGTGCAAATCACTCCCTCAATGTTCCCTTATCCCCATTATGGGGAAGGAGGCCCTAGCTGAGCAATGGTTAAGTGCTGGGGGGCTAAGGGAAATGTTGGCCATTTGAACTTACTAGTTGTTTCTGTGGGAGGAAAAAAAACCACCCCCTAAAACTGGCAGTCCGTTTCAGATTACCCTGGAAAGCCTGGGGGTGGGGGGTGGGGTGGCCCTCTAGCGTAGCTAGGAGCTAGAATCGACTATGCACACAACCAAAACAGTGTGGAGATGATGATGGTGAGGATGAAGACCTCCACAGATGAGGTCTACAAATCACCCAGAGTTCATCATCCAAACTCCTGTCTGCCTCATCCTGTTAGCCGTACATGGAAGAGAAGGAATACTTTTTACAGAGAAACAGAATGAATGACGTGAAAGCCCAGAAGTTCACTCTCAGTGACTCCTGTTTCTCACACTCCTCTATCCCTCAGGAGCCTTAGTGGCATGGTGGTCCACATGGGCTACTAACCGGAAGCTCAGCAGTTCAAAACTACTAGCCACTCCACAGGAGAAAGATGAGGCTTTCTACTCCCTTAAAGAGGTACAGTCTCGGAAACTCCCAGGGGTGGTTCTATTTTTTTCTATTGGGTCACGACAAGTCGGCATCAACTTGATGGCGATGAGCTTGGTGTTTCGGTTTCTTCTCAATCCCTTGGTGATTTAATTTCTCCTCTGTTGCTTTAGATTACCTGAATCGTGAAGTCCAGACCCTTATCCAGGGTGATACACTCTCCCACTTGAGTCTGCATTGACTGCTTCTGATCGTCTTTGTTTGATCTCTGAGCAGGACTTCTGCCCTAGCGCAGGCCATGCTTAAGATTCCTGTCACTACCCCCAAGACCCAGCAATGACACATCCAGCTGTAGACCCCAGACTCTCACACTTGGACAAGGCTGTCGGTGAACCATTGTGTATAGAAGCACAGCCACAGGGACTAACCTAGCTGCTCGTCGACGA